ATTATTAAATAGTATTTATTTAAATTTTTATAAAAATTTTTTTATAAATTTTAATAAAAAAATTTTTAATGAAATAGATAGAAATTTATTTTGTTATTAAATCATTTATTTTTTTACATATAAGTATTGTGGTATATATTTTTTTTAAAAAAATAAATGATATGATTCAAGATAATGATTTATAAATAATTAATAAATTAATATATGAATCGATAAAAAAATATTTAATATATATACAAATTATTAAAATATTAAAATAATTTATCAAATTTATCTATTTATTTATGTTATTAAATAGGCCAAAAAGTCTTTCGAATACAAAAAACAATATAATAAACACAAGGTACAAGAATAAGTAGATAATTGTCATACTTGTTTTCATGTTGCAGATTTAAATATATTTATTTTGCAAGAAAATCAATAACGTAATTATTATCCAGGATAATAATTCTGTTTATGGGATTTGTTAATGAGATTTTGCACACATAATATAAAATTTTAAGAAATAGAATTTAATTTTCGAATATATTTTCTAAAAATATAATATTTTAAATCTAAAGGAAATAAAAACAAATGTGTAATCAAATTTAAATTCAAATTTCTGATGATTAGATAGATAGTTGATATTTATGCATTTTTACAAAATTTCATCATATTAATAATATTGAAATATAAAATAATAATTGAAATATTCAATAGAACAATATATTCATATTTTTTTATTATTTTCATTATTAATTCAATATTAATTTATTATTTTCATTTATTATTTACTATATTTATTTTTGTTATATATACATATGAAAAAAAATAAATCAAAGAATATTTAAGTTTATAGAGAATTTGATACAGAATATTTCTTTTAAATTATAAGATTTCTATGACATTATATTAGAAAATTATATTATATTAGAATTTATACAACAATATTAGAATATATTAAAATATTAGAACAAACGAAATAATGGTACAAAAGAATCAAAATTGATACACATGTGATAATATGTATTTATTTTCCAATACAATATAGGTCTCATATACAATATAGAAAAATATATATATTAATATTTTCGTTTCTCTGTAATCTGTATATACATATAATATATCATAAAATAGTAATGAGTATTGGCAGTTCATATTGATCCGAAAGTGAATATCCAACGATATATCACAATAATATTATTTACCCTATATCTAAATCTAAATTATAAATGCAGAATATATTTATATGTGTAAATAACATTGAGATATGCATATGAAATATTAGTAGATATATAAATATTAATCTTTATTATTTAGATATAAAGACTATAATTCAGATTCCAAAAAATCATAAATATTTTATTAGTTAATTTTGGAATATTTATAATATGATATATATTTTTAATATCTTAAAAAATAAAATTAGAATATATTTCAAAATTTTATTCATAACTTTACATTTTAAAANTAATATTTTAAAATAAAATATAAATAATATATAAAATATATAATATGTAAATATTAAAAAAAAAAGACAATTTTATTATTCTATCTTATATATTTCTATCTATCTTTATATATTTAATCAGAATATGAAATGTAAATTGATTATAATATTTTTAATATTTATATTATTATGTATTATATATTTATAATATATTTCTTATAATTGCACAAAATTTTGAGAATTAACCAATTGCAATTGTTTTGCAGATCATTGAATAATTTTCATGCAAAATCGCGCTGAAGATGAATACGTTAAAAATAAGTTAAAAAATAATTAATAAAAAAAGATGCATTGAATCTCGTATATTAAACGAAAATTCAACTACATGTGGATAGTGTTGCTATTGACAATCGTTTTAAAGATTTTTCTGAAAAAACTGCGACGATTTAATCAAGTAGTAATAGAAACAACGAATCGAACTTTTACCTGTTCTTGAATATCGATTTGCTTCTGTGAGAAATATATCATCGATTCGGTTTCTAAAGAAGTGGAAAATCTTAGTTGAAAGTTGTTTTGAAGAAAGAAGAAATTATTAACAAAAAAAAAGTTTTGTGAATAAAAAAGTTTCTAATGTGAAAAGTAAATTGTTGATTGTGATAACTGGTTCTCAAAAAAACGTGTCAAAAAAAGGTGAATTAATTAATAGGAAGAATGTGAATAAATGGCCGTGATAGGATCTTGGTATCCTTTGAACGACCTACTATGGGCATCTGCCTGGACACTGGTAAGTACTTGTTGAAAATACTATTGGCATTTTGATCTCAAAATTATATATGTGACTCGTTATAGAACCTAGATAATTGAAATCTGATTTTTAGATTCATGAAGTTCGAATTCGAAAATTTATAAAATCTCAAATCTTTTGAAATTTTCAAAATATTTATAATTTCTTTAATTTCTTTAATTTCTTTAATTTCTTCTTGTTTTTTCTTTTTTTTTTTACAAAAAAATGTCTTTTTTGTCAAGAATTTCATTTAAAAAAGTAAAATCTTAAAAAAATCTTAAAATCTTATAAATTTTGATTTTTAAAATTTTTAAAATTCAGGTATAAATAGAATTCATTTCAGGCAAAATTTTGACTTTCGTATGTTAATTAAACATTGCTATTAACAAAGAATTTCTTCTCTTAATTTGAAAACCTGTTGCATTATAAAATAGAGACTTTAATAAGTAGATTAAAATGTTTTTTAACTTTTTATTCAATCTAATTATTAAATCTAAGAATATTATGATATAATAAAAAAAATAGTAAATACTAAAGTTAAGTTTTTTTGTTATGAATTAATTTATTTTTTCTAATTTTTTTTATTTTTATTTTTTTATAAGTAATATAAACTGAGAATTTTATGTAAATATATTACTTTAAAATATATAAAATATTTTAAAATATCTATATTTATAAATAATAAATAATATATTGCTATTACTATAATTTCTACTAGATATATATAGTATACTTTTTATTCAATTTTGTTTAATATAAAGAAAATTCAATATTGGTATGTATTGTATACGTATATTATTTTCTATACTTTTCAATTTTTTTGTTTTATATAAATCGAATAAAAAATCAATAATAGATTGTTATGTACTAAATAAATAATAAATACGGTAAAAATTTCAATAATTCAATATATATAATTTGAACTATAAATATATCTTACATATATCAATCACCATTTATCAATAATTATTATCATATCGATATATTTACATTACTTTTTATATGCGTATTATAAGTATTTTTTTATTTTTTTTAATAAATTGCATTATTAATTATAATCATTCTTTTAATTATATTTTTCATTTTATTCTATTCAAAATACAGTCTAATTATTGCTCAAAATATCAGAATTTTACTTTATTATTTTTCATTTATTTTTCATTGTATAAAATAAGTATTTTTTAATAAATAAAATTTCTTATATAAAATATATATATATTTATTTTTATATATATATTATTTTTAGAAAAGATAAATGTTTTATTGTGAATAAGCACAAACATTACAAATATTTTACATATTTCTAAAAAATGTAATCACATTTTTATATTTATTTAATTATTCTTATGTTTATATATATTTCTTATGTTTATGTTTATATTTATTTATCTTTAATTTACTTATTTTATTTCTTTATGTAAATACAATTATATTTACGTACATATTTATAATCATATCATCAATTGCATTTCTATAATTATACCACTATATTTAATAATAAAAAACTTTGATTGATCCGATGTTATTGAATTAAATTTTAATAAAAGTTAGAATAATAAAATAATAATATATTTAAAATATATTTATTATAAAGATAAATTAAAATTTTAGTATAAAAAATATAAGAAAATAAATACAATGAAATATAAAACAAATATAATAAATCTTTATAATATAATAAATTTATTACTATTATATAATTTATTACATCAATATACAAATATTGTAATATAAAGTTATTTATTATTTGTTTTATTATATGGTATAAAAAATTAAAAAAGTTTCACGTTTTAACTTTTAGATTAGATATGCAATTTATATTGCATATCTTAATTGATTTATCTTAATTAATCAATATTCAAAAAAACAATATCAATATTTAATTTTAATACACTTAAAAGATAGATTTTATGTATATAAAAAATTGAATTTCATTTAAAATACTGTAACTTACTAGTTTTTCTTATTTCTTTTCCTTGTTTATCAGAAACAACATGGTAAGGTGATGTTCAATTATTCGATGTATGAACTCGTCAGAATCAATATGAATTAAGTTTTCATATCTAAGTCCAATAGTTTTAATGTTTCCTTCTTATTTTTAGCATTCTAAATCATTGTAAAGTCAAATTCTTATGTAAATATTAAATAAGCAAAATTTAGTAATGATTAATTTTTTAATTAAAAGACAATATCAATCGAAAAATTATATTTTAAGATAATATTATTTCAAATTAACCACATATGAAATAAATATTTGTTTTTATAATTCAAATTTCATTATAAAATAATATAATGTTAAGTAAGGATAATAGAAAATAATTAGAGTTGAGATATTCGAAATCTTGAAGTCACTAAATTTTAATGTTAGTTAAAACTCTCGAAATCAAAAATAATTTGTATAAATAATTTATTAGAATACTATAACAATATAAATTTAATTAATAGCAATAATTTAATTTGTGTTTAAAATTTATGCTTAAATTTTAATTAATTTCATTATAATTGGAATCCATTACAATATAAATATATATTGAGATATAAAGAAAGAAAAAATTTAATTGTTTACGAATTAAAAAGATAACTATTATATCCATTGATTTATTATGAATCTGAGTTTAAATAATTCTAGAAAACAATAGAGAATAAATAAATAAAAGTATTATCTTATAGTCTTATCTTATAATTTACATTTTTATTTTTCTTTATTTTTATAATTTTAATTTTATTTTTATTATTTATATTTATTACTTATAATTTTTATTTTTATTATGATTAAATTATAAATTTCATAATTATTCTCTTAATAATTACAAAAATAATAAGAATAATTCTT